GCTCCCACCCTTTTCAACTGGTGAACTCTTAACATCTTCCTCAACATCCTTCTTGCTCCTACTATCAAACCTCCTCCAGGAAGACGAACCCCCATCCTCCCTCCTTGACCAATGCCTCTCCGACCTAAACCCTTTCGGATAATCCCTCCTTGAAACGCAAAAGCTCTCGGACCGATGAATCCTCTCCCTTTCCCTATCCCTCTCTCTCTCCCTATCCCTCTCCTTATCCCTCTCAGGCACATACCCACTACCTCGTGGCGACACCATTGATGAACCCACCATCCCATCTCGATCCCTATACCTATCAAACCCTTTTCTCCTATCAAATCCATCATTCTCATGCTCCAATCTCTTCCTCACCCCTCTAAATCCCTCCCTCTCTTCAAAAGCCCCAGAAAACTCATGCTCCCCTCTCTTCCTAAACCCTCTAGAACCCTCCCTCTCATCAAACCCATCTAAATCATGATCCACCCTCTTCCTCAAACTAACCCCCCTCGACACCGAACCCTCTCGCTCTCTATCATCATCAATCACCAGAGACGGTCTACTCCAGCCATTTTCTGGCCCTTTAGAGTAATATCTCCGATGATGCGATGACCATCCCGGTGTCGTTCGGTCAACCTCCTTCTCCCCAACCGACCCCAAATCATCACCATACGATCTTAACCTCTTCATTATCTAACCCTTTATTTCTAATTTAACATACTCCCTCCGTTTCCAAATAATGTACTCGAACACAATTATATCAGTTAAAGAGCTCAGGCTTTGACCACGAATTCTCACCAACATGCAACAAATTACATACCCGTGTGGGATCTTTTTAGACTCGTGTCGATTTATAGTTTACAAACAATAACTTTCTAAAATACCCGATAACACGGAATTAAACATATTGACGATTAAAGGAGTACAACAGTGAACAACCACCACAAAATATAATCAACAGCATAAATTTGATAGATAAAGTTATAAACCCTCGATTTGTATTCCCCTCTTTTCTAGATCTATAAAACCATAATTTCTGAAAAATTAACAGGTATTTCACAGAAAATAGAGCTTAATAATTTAAAAAATAAATTAAGCGGAAGAATTTACCGACTGAAAATCTGGGCGACTGCAATCCATTAGAGAGAAAATGGGGAAAAAATGGGATGAAGAAGAGAAGGTTTGGTTTAATCAATCTCTGTAAAAGAGTCACAGCTTAGTGGGGGACCATAAATTAAGCCAATAAGAAGAAAGAGGTGACGCAAATAAGGTGACAGGAGGTGAGATTAGCGAAGAAGAAAAGAGAGTAACAACAGTCAACGCCAAGTGGTGAGGGTTTGAAAACTGGTGTGTGGTGCACGTGAGTAGGCGTAAGATAGAAAAATTGTCAGAGAGTGGTACGTGCGAAATACGCATGTGATGTTGACACGTGGAGTATGGAGGAATTAAACTGATAAATGTGCATAGTGGGTGAGGGGTTACTTTTGCTTGGAGAAATGCAGAGTCGTTGACTAATGACGAATGTTAAAAGATTCTTATTTTTTTGCCCCATTGACAAAATATAGGTTAAATTTTGAAAATTTTGACCGTAAATTTTCTTGATTTTATAATGAGAAATATCAATTTTAATAATTTTTACGCGTATGAAAATAGAGATATAAACGTTTTAACATGTATTTTGGAGACCGCACAAAGTCAATTGGGGTAAAAATAAAGGGATAGAGGGAGTAAGAAGGAGGAGAGTATGAGTTTTTTTGGGGGCCTAAGGAGCAAGGACCTTGTGTTTATTGGAGTTAACTTGTGAAGTGGGTTGGTTGAGTTTGATTGGGGATAGTCGGGTTAGGTCAAGTCATTACGGATATAAGCTATTCACTTATTCTAGATTATTATACTAATTTAAATTGGATGAAAATGTAGGTTGTTTAGCTTTGGATTTGATTAAGTTGCTCTTGGGTCGAGGTCAATGTTAAACAATTTCGTTGAGATAATAGTTATATATGTTATCGGATTAAAACAGTTAAATAACATGTTCAGGCTAAAATATGCTATATAGATCGCTATACTTGTTAAGCATGAAAATGTTGTGTTAAATATGTATTTATGTTGAATTTTGAATGGTGACACAATTCTTTACTAAATTTAAGCATCCGTAATTGACCAAAAGCCACAAAGTGAAAAGGCTAGTGTCATCACTAAGACCCCATCAAAACAAGCAAGCCAAGGGGTTCTAAGCGGAGTGGTATCCTATTCAAATGCACTGAAAAATAAAGCTGAAAACAACTTTATGGATGAACAACATCATCATGCAGGGGCGGAGCTAGAAGGGGACGAGTGGGGACACTTGTCCCCCCATTTTCAAAAAAAAAAATTAAAAAAAAAAAAATTTAAAAAAAAAAAAAAAAAAAAAAAATGCAATTACAAGTTGCGTTGCGACATTTTCCAGCCAGCCAAAGCCTGAAAGCCAAACCCTAAGTTTTTCAATTTTCAATTTCTCTCTCTTCGATTCGCCCAATCGCCCTCGCCTTCGTCCGTTCGCCACTTCGCCGGCAGTCTTCGTCCGTTCGCCGGCAGTTCGCACTTCGCAGCAGTGACGAGGTTCAACAGCCGCCCTTGAGCCTTCGTCCTTCCTCCTTCGTGACTTCGTGTGTTCGTGACTTCGTCTGTTCGCCTAGCCGTCTGTTCGTCCACCGTTCGCCGGCAGTTCGCAGCAGTGACGAGGTTCAACAGCCGCCCTTCAGCCCTTGAGCCTTCGTCCTTCGTGAATCGTGACTTCGTGTCTTCGTGACAGCGTGACAGCGTGACTTCGATCGACACTTCGTCTGTTCGTCATATGCATTTCAATGGAGGTATGAATCAATGAATGTATGATTAATTGAATAATTGATTACTTGTTTTGTTGTTTAAATGTTTAATTGTTTAAATTTACAGTAAATCTGAAATTCTGAATTTCATATTTTTATTACTTGTTTAAATGTTTAATTGTTTATATTTTTATTGTGAATTTGTCATTTGTGGCCTTGTCACTCCAGCTGAAATTTAATTTTGATTTCTGGGTTAATCTCCTTTTTATTCTATTTAGCTTCATATTGCCGGCTTTTTTATAATCCAATTCAGTCTTAATCAGGAATTTCAATAATTTGAAGGTAACCCTTCTTGTCTTTGCTAATTTGGTTTCTGGGTTTGTTTTAGAATTCTCTGTTGGTTTCTGTATTGATTGATCTGATTAATGTTGGGTTTAAAGATTGGTTTTTTTTTTTTTTCTTCTTAATATGAACAATATGGGTGATTATTAATGTGTTTGGTTTGATTAAGAGTTTCAATGATGGTTATTTTTTGTGGGTTTTAGTCATTGATGATGAGCATTCAATTACTGTGTTTATATTATATAAGTTGATTGTCTTAGTTTTGGTTTAAAATGTTGCTGATTTTACTTGTTTGATTAATTTTTCTGAGTATTAAAATGAAGAAAGTATATTTGATTTCTTAGCTATAATAATATGATGAGATTGAAATAAGGGGTAGAAATGGAGAGCTGCTTATGGAATCGTGGGTATTGATTATTGAATAATTTGAATTGATAAATGATTATTGATTTATATTTGTTTGATTGTTTCCCCTGTTAGAGTTTTTGGTTGTTTTTGTGAAATGTGAATTTAAATTTATTAATTATTGTAAATTATTGAAATGTGTAGTTGAATTAGAAATTTAAAATCTTAGCCTCTTAGGTTTTGTTATTATGTAATGATGTGGATTGTGGTCTTGTGGAAATTGATATATAATTTTCGATTTAATTAGGAAATGTCAAACGATTCACCAAATTCAAACAAATCAAAGGCAACTAAACAACCCGATCTTCGACAATTCTTGTTTAAAAGAACGAAACTCAATGAAAATGAGTCCAATGAAAATGAGTCCAATAACTCACCTTCATTTAGCTCCCCTCAAAGTCAAGAAAATAGTATGGAAATGGGTGGTTCAAGTAATAGTAATGTACCAAATCAAAGGCAACTAAACAACCCGATCTTCGACAATTTTTGTTTTTTTTTTTGTTAAGCTTTTCGTAAGTTAAGCATTTTGTCCCCCCAAGTTGAAAATCCTGGCTCCGCCACTGTCATCATGTATCACTATGCAGATCACACATAGATTCTCATTATCACTTAATCCTAAGTAAGCGTGAGGTTATCTCAAGTAGCAAAAACAACGAATAAGATCACCCAACCACGAAGAGTTCATCGAGGGAGCACAAAGTGCCTAATGAGAGAAGCTTGATATTTTGAAGACATATAACTAAACTTGGTTTACCATAATTCTTCAATAATGTCGGAAACAAAAGCAAGCATGGTCACTACAACAGATTAGATGGTTGTAGTCCATATTATACTACATATTAATTATGGAGTATCCTATGTGTACAGTCGGTCTGAATGTGTATATAGTCCATGAAATGGTTGTACGTTAATAGTGGTGGGTATCTTGTGTCGTATTTTACTATAGGCAAAAAAAAAAAAAAAAAGAGAGAGAGAGAGAGAGAGAGAGAGAGAGAGAAGAAAGAAAGACAATCCATGTCTAATGTGGCTTGATATGTTTTGTACAACTATGGATCTATTAGATTCCTTATTTCTATGTCATGCGATTTTAACTATTTTAAATTATACTTATTCTCATTGTGTCACCTTAACCACGATGTTGTGCCAATTTTAGTAAAATCATGCTACAAGCATAACATATGGCCTAGCAAGGAAGTGTAATGCCTTGTCAAATTGGCTTAAGTCTAGTGCAACCCATCATATTATTGAACATACCCGTTGACTAGTGACAATATGGGGGATGGGATTCCCTTACCTTCCCCCATTGCTCTCCCAAATTGTCTATTTTGTTAACTCGCATCGGGTTGACCAATGAGAGATTCTGATCTGATAAGACCCTTCATCTTACCTAAAAAAAAATCATATTAATGAACATACAAATACATCATATTGTACTTATTTTGAGTTCCACGTATCATGGCTTTAACCCACAGTAAAACAAAGTTAACGAACCATATGAGTGCGGTTGTGAGTGTATTCGGACCTTCGGCTTTGGGTTGATGTAGTATAACCCCTATTAGGCACGGGCCGGTCGGCGTCTAACCCATATAAAGGTATAAACCTTAAGTTCCCGAAACCACCGCTGCAACTTTCTCTGATTTAAATTTGGCGCTACCAAGTCCCAAGTTCAGCAGACTACAGGTTCTTTCAATCTCTCTCTACAATTTATCTGTTATCGCTCACAACATTCGCCATTTCTAACTACACGACTTCGCTAATCTCGATTTTCTGATACATTTTTCTGCAGCTGTTGAATTCTAAAGCTCAATTTAGCGCAATTGAAGGTAAATTTATACTTACTCAAGCAATCTAAACTCTTGAATTTCTGGATTTTAGGTTATTGTTTTGAATTATTTATTTGATCATGCTAGATTATCAAGTAAAGGAAAACCTAATTTGATAGAATATTTGATTATTGTGTTTTCTCTAGTAGTCCAATTGCTAAATTGTGATTTTGGATACGTCTTCAAATCGATGCTCAACTGATTTAGGTTCATGATTTTGACTTCAGCTTGTTTCCGATTGTTGCTCATTAACAAAGTATGGAATCGATTGCAGTTATCATGAATTGCTTGATTTAATTTGGTAAATTTTCATCAATTATCAAAAGTTTGCCAAAAAGTTACTAGTTGAGCTCAATTTTCAAAATATTTGGTGCGAAATTTATGTCATCTATTTTGATTAATTTAAAAAATCAGGTCTCATGATAGTTAATGGAAGGAATTTAGTGAAGGAATTTAGCTTGCTTATGTGACCTAATTGCTGGTATTGTTTGAATACCTTTTGAATTCAGTGTTTATTCAAGAAAACCTGTTTCTTATATGTACGCGTTTATTGTCTAAAATGAACCTGGGAGATCAGGTTCAAGAAGACCGTTCTGCTCGTGTTTCGTGACCATCTGAAATTTGAACTCTGAAATAGTATTGTGTAGATATGAATTTGATTGTTGTCTGTGCGCAAATTTCAAATTATTGAATGCAAAACAGCAAAAATTGTGCCAGTAATGTTATGGACAATTTTTAGGGAAATTAATCTTTTGTGTGAGTATTAACTATTAAGTGCCTTTACAATATACTTGTCTGGCTGGCTGTTATTTGATATTAGAACTATTCTGCATTTATGATCATAACCTGGTGTCAGTGTGCTGTGCCTTTTCCGTTACTGCTCTTGTGCGCATGTATGAAAATGGCTTGATAAGAGTGTTCAAGAGGTTGATCAACCAAACATGATTATTGATTACCTTTTATCTTCGGATTTTACATGGACAGCAACTGTTTCCTTCATAGAATTCTGTTCTGAAATCTTAATCAGGGAATAAATGGTCTTATTTTGTGGCCTCCATGCTTTATGCTGTCTGATGTCTTCCTCTTTCAATGAGTTGAACTAGCAATCTAGCATGATACTAAATGTTCATGTATTAGTTACTTAGTTTCAACCCTAACATGATGTACAATGCTTTCTTTTGTTCTTGCTCTTACAGTGTCCTGCTCGAAGACTTGCCTGATATGTCCCTGAAAATTGGGAACCCTTATAATTAATTCTGTACATGTGGATGCAGAATAGTAATCAACATGGAGGAGCAAGACACCCAAATAGCAAGAAAGCGCAAGATAAATGATGTATGCGGTAGAAGAGTAATAAGTAATACAATCTTATTAGCTGTTAGGTTTCCTTTACATTCAGCTAATTTCTCAACAACTTTCGCTAGATGGAGCATGAAAGAAGTGAGGACAGAGGTGAAACAAATGAAGAAAATGGGGAAGAAGAAAGTGAGATGAACTTCTCTGGGTCAGAAGAAATGAGGCTTGGCATTGCTCGCCTTCATGAGAAAGTCGAGGCATATAATCAACTGGTAATCATGCTAGACTTATGTTTTGCATCCCTTGCATTTATAGAGTTCTAATGCCCAAGTTCACAGTTCAAGTGTTCAGAAAATCAGAAGTAAATAATTTGACAATGCTTTCAGGTTTCTGAGATGCTGGAATCTGGAAAGTCACTGTTCAACAAGCTAAGCCAGGATTATGAAGAGCGAGTTCTCATGTAAGCTATAGAATGGGAATATTACCTGATTACATACAGATGGGAAGCTTACTTTGTTCCCCTATTATATTGATTGTTATAGGATCCACAAGGAGCAGATTGAGAAATGGCAGGAAGAGATAAAGGAGCTGAGGGTGATCGATGCAACTAATGAGGAAATGAATGATCGCCTTAATAATGTCAAATGCCTACTTCAAACTGTTCATATCGGTCAATGAAGATTTAGCATTTAAGCTGCTAATTAGACCTTGATCCATTGCCCTTTCTGCTGTGAGTCATGGATTTGCCTGAGGACAACCAAAGCTGTTCACAAGTGCAGGTAGATCTGCCAAATTTTGTGCACTCTCTTAGTTCTATATATATGCATCGTTAAATGAAAGACCACTTATTGTGAAATTTGATCTAGTTAGTTGCTCCACCTAAGATCACAGATAAAGAAGTATGGCTGTCCACGTTCTCATAACACTGTTAGTCTGTTACCTCTTCAATACACAATATTTTTTCTTTTTTCTTGGAACGAAGGTAGTACTTTACTTTGAAGACTCGTGTAGAACTTAACGTAGAATTGCGAGATTCATTGTGAGCAAAAGATTGAACTGCACAAGTCCAAAATCTGATGTCTAAATTGGTTAAAATAAAGGATTTCGAATTGGGCCTAGATAGAGCCCAATTTGAAAAAAAAGAGGCAAATATTTCTCCATCCTAAAGGTTGTCCGTCCTTCAACACCCTTAGATGAAGGTTATCAAGGTGATTATTGGGATCATCTCATGTTTATAAATAGTAAATACTTTTAACATATTATGTTCTCAATCCTCAATAAAATAGTATAGTTTTATACGGACTTATTAGTGATGAATTTGCATATTTTTATTCTTGATCACGTAATGCAATAATTTTGGCATTTCATACTTGAATTGCCATAAAGCCTATTCCTAAGCCATTGTTGACACTTGACAGTCCAGACAAAATTATCAAACTCAAATGACCGAATTCAACTCTTTTTATCATGAGAAAAAAAGGACTTTATTTCTAAGCCTCATTAGTAACATTCTCAAGGGTCTACTAAGAATTTTTAGGAGTTAGGACTATGCAACGGGTATACATATCTTCTACTGTTCTGCCTCACAAGAGGTGATGACAAATTACTAATCTCCTTGAATGGATACCGATTCAACGATCCTAGTCTGCTGCTAGTTTTCTGCACTGTTTTCTTTGCATCACTGTAATCAACCTCTTTGTTCTCAGCATTTTCGTTTGTTTGATTGCTTCCTTTAATACGACACATTAGCATTCGCTTTTCTCTTGCAAGCTGAGCTCCTAGTGATACTGGTGCTGAATCTTTACTCGCTTTCACATCATACTCACATCTTTTTTCAACCTTGAATTTTTCAAGCTCCTGCTGCAGTTCTTGTACCTGTTTTTGCAGCTGATTTTCCTTCTTCTCAAGAGAAACTGTCTTCTGTTTCCATTCTTCCACCTAATCATAAGCAATACAAATTCATCAACATGAATCTATATCCAAAGAATGCAACAGCATACATCTAAACTATGCTCTTTTCAGCCTACATAACAGGCAATATTAGAACAGCCTGTCTTTTTAAGTTATCCTTGTCAAAACTGAAGGACTTTGGAGAAGATGATCATTGGTTAAAAGCCTTACCTCAGAATCTAGTTTGTGGATTTTTTGCTCAGATTCAAGTGCTTGTTCTTCCCAGAAATCGCGAGAAGCCTGCACTTCTTCCATCTCTTCCCTTACTTTCCCTAGCATTTCTTGCATCTGAGACCATTGTTCTGTCTCAGCCTTTACCTGTTCCATAATCCTCCTTACTATAGCTTTACAACGGCCTGAGCATATTTTTAGCTCCCCTGATTTTGCCTCCTGGAGATTATGTTTTAGCACAAAACTGGTAAGCTATCCAATCAAACAAGTACACTAAAACTTTCAATTAAAAAACCAGGCCTAGTTGATTTATGTTGTAATCTTTCTCTAAAGAAAATATAGTTTCATTCAGAATGTTTTACTTTGAACCAAACACGGCCTCAAAACTCTGATCCACTGAGCAAAGATCACTACTATAGCAGGTTAACAATATCATATGAGGGAATTTAGAAGCTTATGCACAAATTTAAGTGCTGGCAAAATCACCAAAGAGATGAACATACCTGTGAGGATTGTTGAAATGGAAAGGAGGATGAATCGGCTAGGTCATGTCGTTTTGAAGTAGAAGCAGAACTGGGGACAGAATAGTTAGTTGTTGCTGACAACATGTATCCATACTCTTCTTCCATTCTCTTAAGTAACTTTCCCTTTGATAACCCCTCCATTTTTCTTCTCAAAGTCTCCACCTACAAATCATATATTCATTTCACAATCATCTTCAATGCTCATAAAATTCAAATTTAAATAACAATAGTACTGAAAATTTATACACTTCATTCTAGATAACAATGTAGATCAAACTAAGGTCCATATTATTATTGCGAGGGAATTATGTTCTAACATACATATCGACATTCATGTTCTAACTCTACTTAAACAAAATTCACAAGTCTTCCTATATGCGCGAAAAACTTGTACAATGTAACTAAAATTCAACACAATTCAACTATGTACCAACTTCTAGAGTCCTCTTGTACAAGGTAGCTAATAACTTAGCACAAAATCTATAAAAATTCGCGATGAATTCAAGCAAAGAATAGCTCTTACATCAGTAAACCTGGTGGATCGACGACAGGAACCATGCCCTTTGATCTTTGCATCTTTTGTAGAATTGATTGGAAGGCTAACAGAAGTAACTTCTGATATCTCTTTCACACAACATTCATCTTGTATTTCACTGTATTTTTCGAGTTGTTTCTGAAGCAAAGACGCTTGCTTATCAAAGTTACTGCTGCAATTATGAATTTCAGGGGTTGTCAACTTTGAACTCCTTTGCAACTCTACAAGCTTCTTTGCTAACTTCTCAATCTCCTCCTCTAATGTTGGATTCGTGCTTTTGCCCTCCCGGATTTTCTTCTTTCCCTATCATTGATCAATCATTAATCCAATATTAAAAATTAATATTACAAATTTACCCAAATTAATGAAACTATGAATTAAGCTAAAACAAACAGAATGACAGAAACAGTAGCATTGCAGGAAAAGACAATCAATTTTCTAAAAAAAAAAAACGTCCTTTTACATACTAAGGGATTAAAAGTACAGTGCATTATAAGACAACTAAACATACTACAAATAATATAAGACAAATGAAATTAATTTCATCTTACAATGTTTTACTTTCATTTTAACCCTGAAACATAAATTCAAATAAATAGATACCCCAAATATATGTACGGAGTATATTTTTTGTCATATTGGTATTAAAGCAAAATGCTGATGTATTTTAAATTTCTGCTCTGTGTAAGCTAATAATAAGGTAATTATCCTTAATACTGAACTAAATAGCAAATTAAAAAAAATAATAATAAATTTCAATTAAAAAAAAAAAAAAAAAAGGAGATTAAGGAACTAACAGAGAGAAGGGTAAGGGAGATTAAGGAACTAACAGAGAGAAGGGTATGAACAGCAGACTTCAAACTCTTTTCCAAAACTACCCTTTCTTTCTCTAACTTCTTAACAGCAATTTCTCTCTCCACCCTCAAGAAATTACACTCTGCCCTCAACATATCAGCTTGAAACCTCCATTTCTCCTCCTCGCTCTCGGGTACATTATCGTATTTACCCCTCTCACTAGAGTTCAGTAATACAACCGGAGGAATGGTATAAGAAAATGACCTTTCTTGGTCGAACAGACTCTCTAATTTACCCTTTTGTGATCGTCTGAGAAACAACGGGTTAACGTCGGAACTCGATTTAACAGGAACGTTCTTTGTGGGTATTTTCCGGCGAGTAGTCCGCCGTGGAAGGTGGAGGATTCTCGGTGTTTGCGGTGGTTGTGGGTGCCATTTTGGTCGCCTCACCGTGGTCATGTCTCGTTTCCTCTGTTTTTGTTTTGTTTGATTTTATTTTGAGGCTTTTGTTACGTTGTGTTTTGTGCCCCTATAGGCCTATAGTTTTTGTAGTGTGGGTGAAAATTGAGGAGAGAGAAAAATTTGAAAAGAGGGGATATAACGGTACGGGAAAGTGGGGTCCACTATACGAATGATGGGCCATAACGAACATATGAAAGGGAAGGGTTAGCGAATGTACAAGCTGCAGTGCATGCAGTATTAGAGTAACAGCAGAGAGTCGAGCTAGTTCAAATCTAAAATCATACTAACCATATATGACTATGAGTCGAGCTATTTACGGGTATTGTAATTGTAAATTTATTGGCATGAACTTTGAATTCTAATCTTGTGTTGAGTTAATTTATGTAGATAAAGTTTAAATAGTTTAAAATGTATTTGAATGCTATAAGGTCCGTAACATCTTACATTTCTTACATTGATTTAAATTGATATCTTTTTTATTATTATGATGATTTATAAACTTGATCTTGATCTTGTGTAATGGTGTACTTATTAAGTTATTATTGACCCTAGGTAAAGATAATATTGGCAATATGCAAATAATGATAGTGTGATTTTGAACCACTTGCATGAATAATAATGGACAAGTAGACTATTACAAAATCACAATAGATATGATATGTCTTGAATAGTTAGGGATTTAACATGATTTTTTCAAACTTTCTTTTTACGAGTATATACTTAAAGTTTATGATTGAATATTCTATAGATTAATTGATACATTTTTGTCAAAAAAAAAATAAAAAATTCATGCATTACTTGTAATTCTTATATACATTCAAATCTCTCTATTATTTATGCAATTCTTAGTATTAAAAATCAAACATATGACTAGCCTAGCTGGCTAATATTATCAAACCCTTGATTAGGGAAAACAAATTCTCGTAATAATCACCCATTAGAGATTAATATATCAAGTTAGTACTTATTTTAGTACTAATGATCAATATAATTACTACACATTCAATTTGTTTTTTAGTCCACAACTACACAATTTTCCCTCAAAATTTCAAAAAATAACGCAAAAAAATGAGTGAGAGGCGTGCAGCCTCGATTCCACGAAAGAACAGAGATTTGAAATGCAAGCAATGCAATAAATGGATTCCCTTCATTTTTTTTTTTTCTTAAATTTATTTTTTTGTAATAGTAATAAAAATAATTGAATTTATAATAATTAGAAGAAGAGTACCTAGATCTTTGTTCTTCCTAGAATTTGGTGTTCGATGATGCTTTTTTGTAAGACCCTGCCCCCACTAACCCCTACCCAATTTTGGGTAACTTTAGTTCTATGCTCTATTTCTTTGCTTTGGAAGTCAATACTATATTAAGCAGCTTTAAGTATTGATAGTTGACACATGACACTAATAGATTTATAATAATGGGGTGAGTTTAAAGTTCTGTTTGAAAATAATGATTTGATATTAGGAAAGTTTAACCTTAAGTCTAAGGGGTTATGTGTGATTTTGTTGTATGTAAGCTCTCATCAAAACCTTTTAAGTAATCGTTGTAATTAAGTATGAGGTTTTGAAGCATATTGTCCTTCATTTATATTATTTTGTATATTAATTTTCATCAATTAATCTCTAAATTTATTGATTTTGAATTTGACTAAGATTTTTCGCTAGTATAGACACAAGAATAAGAAATAAGATACAATTCACCGGTTTACTTTATGATTTCCAACAATGACTTGTGATCAACTCAAATGTCATGGTAATTTACAGCAAAGTTATGCAAGTAGCCAAGTATTACATATTTTATCAAAAGTAGTCAAGTATTACATATTTAAGCAAGATATTAATCCTTATAATTATATATACACTTCTACATACATATGATTGACTGTCGCACTAAGCTATTTTATGCGATTAATACTCGTATATCTTATACAAGTAACATGTTAAATTATAGGAGTATTGTAATTTAGTATTTTGCCGATGTATTGAAAGATTTGATCCATTCAGATACGTATTTCCAAGCTCATGGTTGACAAGGTGTGGTGCTCCAATTTCTGTCCTCTATCTTTCAATGATTTATTCACATTAATTACAAATTGGAGCTAATTTATATATTAACCGAGATTTCATAATCAAGGTGTACGTGCCGTAGAAGCACATTCTAGCTATTATTATTAAGTCACACATTTAATTTGACATATAGTTATACACTTACCTATAGTATTTTAATTAATTTTTTGCAGACCACATGCATTTTTTTAATCTGGCAAATACAACTAATCATTCCCCAATCCTCTTACTTTCTCTCTCTTAAAGTATGAAATATGAATGGGGGTGAGGAAACTCTTTAAATATTGGTCAATCGCGTCCAATTTGTGATGATATTTCCATTTTTTGAGGCTGCAACAAAATCACACAACACTTGGGGTGTAACATTTTAATGCTATAAATGAGTATTATGTATTCACTGCATACAACAAGACATAAATTTTATTAATTGTAGGGTAAAGTACTGCATGATGAAAAATAGCTAGCAAACTCTGCATGGTTTGCAATACATGTTTGAATTTAATGGTTGTTTTGATGGGTCGGTTTTTTTTCATCATTTCATGGCTTCTAATCTGACTCACTTCAAGATATATGGTTAAAACGAGTTTTTTTTTTAAAAAAATTTATTTTTAAAAAAAAAAAATTCTTGGCCCGGCCTCTTATACGTGTAATCATTTGTATTAATCGAATTAATATGCTCCGTATCCTTATAAAAATTGAGCTACAAACGATACATTCGCATTCTTAATTAAGTACAGTCATATTATATCTAGCATGCAGAATTTTTTATTTATTTTCATATAGCGTATTAATATAAGTTGTTATATATAAACAATTTCAATGTTAATAGTACTCGAATATGTGTACATGACTATTTTTTTTTTAATAGAATATACTATGACTCTATAGTTAGTTGACGTTAATATTCGCATTACATGCATATAGATCTGATATTACTCCCTCTGTTCTTTAATTTTTGCTCCATTTTCCTTTTTAGGGCGTCCCTTTAATTTTGCCCCATTTTATTTTTGGACATATGGGTCCACAATTCTACTCTCACAACCACCCCATTAACCCCACCACTTTTCTCTCTCATCACTTTTTTCCAACCAAAACTTAATAAAGTAACATTACACTATGAAGCAAAATATGAGGAATGGAGGGAGTATATAGTATATACAGGCAATAATTTAGGATTACATCATAAATGAAAATTTCAAAAAGAATTATGCATGGTCCATACTAAGATAGATAAGTACTTTAATTTATGAGTTATGAATAGGCCGGGGATAAATCGTACCATTCACTGAATATTTCATTAATGTGCCGCGGTCCATGCTATCATGCTATGCTTGGTGATTTGGTAACAAAAGAAGCAATGGACTTCTACTGCATGTCCGCACCGCACATGCAGGGATCAATCGTGATCGATAAAACTATTCTTCCTTCCTTTTAAATTCAAAATGATAGATGTACGAGAAATTACTTGTTGATCTAAATGATTAACGAAATCCAAAATCAACTTAACTTATTATTTTAATAGATTTTTTAAATATTATTATTACACTATAAAGAATTTTGTAAGACTAAAATTTAATATCTTTTACAAAATTTAGTTAATTGACAAATACGGAGTTTGAATTCATGAAGAAAAGTGGTGTAATTGTTAGCTTAAAAACAAAACATGTTTTACGACCTTGGCAAGTTCATATGCCTTACTCATCCTTGCATGAGCCATGTCGCGACTATTTATGTACTAATAATCCACATAGTAGCAACCCAACTCTAAGGCTAGTTCTTAGTCTATCTAGCTAGCTCAAAGTATATGTAGGAGTATAGTTTTATTCTTTTCATCTTATTCAAAAAATAAATAATAAGGTCGATGAATCTAACTAGATCGATCACACATAATATTTTAATGTATTTTCTTAAATACTAACATATTCTCAAATGTTAAAGAATTATACCAAATGAGAAAGAAAATCAGATTGATCCAACCTTTAGAAAATTCAGACCCAAAAACCTTATTTTTTATAACGAGGAGAACACCTAAAATATACAAACATAATAACTTATTCCATAGTACAACTAATTAAGATCTATAGTGGTAAATGCTATACCAATAATAGGCACAACATAATGGCATAATGTTAAGTTGCTAGCAACAAAAATGTCCTAGCTACTTTGCTAGCTACACTACTTACCAAGTGAAAGCAGACGACTCAAGTTCTAGCACAACAACCAGTTAAAAGGACAATGTTAGGTTAATTTCTATACACCCCAATCATCATCATTTTAAAGAATTTACCGTAATCTGGGTCCCACTGACTTGCTAGGCAGGTGCATTTCATGTACTACAATTTCCCATGACATTTTCTTTACTGCTCCTAAAATTTAGGTAAATTTTAATCTATTTTTACTTTATTTCCTTAATTAATAAATTAATTTTGCAAAAAAAAAAATTTAAAAATTGTTTTTCAGGGGAAAACTTTGCAAATAAATTATGAAGTCAATAAGTCAATGTACAAAACAAAATTAAACAATAATTAAAGTACTCATCAAATTGAATTTTTTTATAAAATGGAGGGCTAAAATATGGTAGTGACTTATATGATGGGAGCTATTGCTTGACCTTAGGCATGTAGATTATGAACGTTATGATTCCACCTAATCTAAAGAAATGATTTGGCTGTATATGATTGTATGTACTTAGCTTAATGCAACACACGTGGATGTTTTTTAAATGTCAAATTGAAGGTTTAAAATGGATTAAATCGAAACATTATGTAATTTTTATTAGCCATTAGGTATAAGATACTGGAGTATGTCATATCGAGGTTATCTTAGTTATTTAAGTGGTGCTATAAAGTGTACATATATTTAAATACTTCGTATTTGGTAAAAAAAAAAATAAAAAAAAAATAAAAATTAATGATAGTTATTGAATTCAAGAGAAAAGAATTTGCTTTAGTTTATAACTAGGTTTTCCCCGTACGATGCCGGTTAAAATTAATTTTTCTTTTAATTTATGTTCTGTTGCATTACATTGTATGTAAAGATCAGAATTAGATATTAAAATAATTTACAGTTAAGAAATTATATGAACCACATTGTTTACAAATTACAATTAATAATTAAAATAGTCGAAAAAAATGATTTAAAATGCATATTTATTGAAGTACGAAAAAAAGGTGGAGTTAAACAATGCCTGACATCAACCATGAATTGAACATATTCAACTAACAAAGTATATTAGCATTATCCATTTCGACCGATTACAATCAAAGTTCAGTGACCATTTCTCCACCATTGGTGGTTTATCACGGTGAATGATCTGAGCTTGTTACTCTGTGGACTAATTTCATAAAGTAAAATAGAAAAATAATATATGAAAAACTGAGTCAAATAAAAAAATAAACCTAAAAAAAAAACATATTATATTAATATTATCCAAGTTATACATATAATAAAGTGTAGATTTTTTAAAAATAAAAAATAAAAAATCATTGATGACATCATACACCAAATTGGCGGGAAACTTTTTGATGAGAAAGCGACGCATAGGCTAGGAAGGGAGTTGATGATGTCAGCAACGTTTTATTTTAGTACTAGTTAATAGATGTACGAGTAGTATATATTTACCAGAGAGCATTCATATAAAGTTATAAACATTAGACTAACAA